CCACTGTTTTGGTTGTGAAGATTGGCGAATTCTGTCAATCCTGTTTGCGACATACACATGGAATCTTCGTTTCTCATTGCATATATAACCCAATACGACGCGGCTGTCTGTGAAAAAATGCAGGCATTCTGCCTGAATGTCAAGCTGCTGGAGTAGGACATCTGCCATCTCTGCAGATAGAACAGCAGCACACAACTCTAACCGAGGTATGGTATGTCCATGATGTGGGGCTACTTTGGACTTGCCCAGCAAGAAACTCAGTGTACTGGTGCCATTGACGTCGTACATCTTGAGGTAAGCAACAGCACCTATTGCTTCCTTCGAAGCATCAGAGAATATATGAATCTCTTTGGTAAGGGAATCAGACATTGAGATTTTTTAATAAGGTCTTGGGATGACAACATTTTCAAGATTCTTGAGGGAGTCACACCAGTTCTGCCACTGAGATAAGTAAGAAGAGGGAAGGGGGTCATCCCAACCAGAGGTTGTTGACATTAGTTCCCTAAGCAACAGTTTTCCTTTGATGACAACTGGTGCTGCAAAGCCCACAGGGTCGTAGAGGCTGTTTATGGTAGACAATACCCCACGCCTGGTGAAGGGCTTCGTCTCGGCACAGACTTGGAAGGTGAAAGTGTCTTTGTTAATATCCCAGGATAGGCCAAGACTTCTTTGAGGCGGAGGAGTGTTCGTGTTGAAGTCCAAGTCCTTGATGTCCTTGGCGAGGTCCTCTGCATCAAACGCAGCTAGCACAGTTCGACTGTTGGAGGCTATCTTGTGTAGTCTTATGTTACCCCCATGTTGGAGCACACTCTGGGTTCTCTGAATCAGATCGATGGCTTTTTCCTCTGTTGGGACGGACAGCAGTCCGTCATCAACATAAAAGTCATTCTCCACGAACCGTTTCACATCAACGTCAGCATTTTCCACTGATCGTCTGAGACCATAGGTAGCGACTGCAGGAGAGGGTGAATTCCCAAACACATGAGCAGTCATTCTGTACTCAATCAAGTCTTGGCTTGGATCATTATTTCTGTACCAGAAGAATCTGAGGTAGTCACGATGAGATGGCTTCACCTTGAAGCAGTAAAACATTTGCTCCACATCTGCCGTCACTGCAAAGGATTCTGTTTGGAACCTGAGAAGGATTCCCAACAGATTGTTTGTGAGGTCAGGACCAGTCATTAGGACACTGTTCAGGGAGACGCCATTGTACTTCGCAGATGAATCAAATACACCCCTGATTTGTCCTGGTTTCTTGGCATTGTAAACACTAAACAAGGGCAAGTACCAACACTCTTGATCCTTTTCCAATGGAGGGGCTATTTCTGCATGTCTATGACTTTTGCCATGAATGTTGTCATATGTTCTCGCTTTGTTTGATCTTTGCACATGCTGGAGTCCAATAATTTTGCTCGATGAATGGCATGGAATTTGTTGCATGGCAGCCTGGCACGATCTTGTCGAAATGGTAGTGGAGCAGTCCAACAGCCATCACTATCCTTTGAGAATTCAGCATCCATAATCCTCAGGAATTGCTTGTCTTCAATAGACAAAGTCTGCGTTTCGTCAAGTCTTGTTTTCTGAAAGACACTCTCCCCAAAGTCATTTCTCTCTTTGACTTCAAAATTATTAGGACAGGGCTCCATGATTGTCGTTCGACCATCCCTGAGCATGTGAGTCTTGTTAACTATTACCACATCCGGTTTGTGTACCTGCCCGAGACAGACTTCCCCAATTATTGCCCAGCCAAGGTGCAACTTCTGGGCATACGGTGCATCAGGCAGTCCAATGCGCTGATCAAGTACATGATGAGCTGCTAGCAGGTCACGTCCTATGAGCAACAGAATGTCTGCACCTGAATCAATAGGTGGGATGTACTCAGCAATGTCCCTTAAGTGAGGATGATGAATAGCTGTTTCTGGAGTAGGGATCTCCTCTCGCACATTTGGAATCTCATTACACTCTATCAAGGTGGGTAAATGTAATGATGAGGACCTGTCTAAGGCTTGAATGACATATCCTGATGCTCGTCGGCCAGACATTGTCACACAACCAGCACAAGATGAGAGTGTGTATTCAACTTCATCTCCATCTTCATGAAAATTATCAAAGAACTCATTTTTTGCAAGTGACCGGTTGCTCTGATCATCAATAACAGCGTATGAGAATAAGTACTGTTCTGGACATCCTTTTGGAAATACCTTGACTAGCAGAGTCTTGGCACATGACTTGCCGCCAACCAAATTATCACATATCTGTGTGCAAGCTGACATCGTTATTGGCTTCTCTTCGTGATGTGACGCCGACAGAGCAGTAACGTTTCTCTCCCCTTCATGCTTCCTCAGCGAAGTCCTGCTGTCTGCAACTTTAGCGGAGGTTTCTCCCTCATTGTAACTGTGCATGGCGGTAGCATGATGAACACTCCCACAAAAGAAACACTGAATGCTACACTTGCATTCACGCGCAGTGCGCTGAGTAGATTCACAACACTTGAAGCATATTCTATGCTTACCAAGAAAGTCCTTTCTCTCACTCAGAGATAGACGTCGGAACCCCTTACAATAATTAAGAGTATGTCCCTCCGATTTATCGTGGTAGGGACAGAGTCTAACTCGTTCCGTAACATTGTCTTTCTCCCGGATGTCAGTTTTCTTTGACAACAGTTTGAAGTTTGGGTTGATATTCAACGGATGAAATTTCTTTGTGGAATTTGGCGCTGACTGTGAGTCATAAAGAAAGCTTGGATCATTTCGTATTCTAGCCTGTCTGCTTATGAATTCTGAGAACACAGAAAAGGGAGGATAAGCAACATGATACCGTTCCTTGTAGTTGACTGCTTCATTTGTCCATTTCTCTTGAAGAGCGTAGCCTGTTCACAATCGGAGTCACGCCCGCTGAAGAGTCATAGTATGCCAGAAGGGCTGAGTACCTCTGATTGTCCTTCACAGACTCAATTTCGGACACAATGTCTGCCAGGTCATAGAGTTTATCATGATCTTTGTTGGAAAGTTTAGGGAAATTAGACAATTTTTTCTTGAGTGCAGACTCCACAAGCTCGGGACTGGCATATCTGTCTCCCAGTCGTTCCCAGATCTTCTGAAGGCCGCGAAGTGAATTATGAGCATTAGCAGCACGAATACTAGCGGCTTGTCTGCTGGACTCCGGGCCAAACCACCTGACCAGCAAGTCGATTTCCTCCTGCGGAGACACATTTAGTTCGTACATAATTTGTGTAAAGCTATTCTGCCACACAGCAAAATACTCTGGCTTATCGTTGAATTTACTCAGCCGAGAGAGGAGGAGGTCTTTCCTCATCAAATATTTGGAGAGTTCTGAACACAAACCCAGTTGGTTTGTCACATGTCCCAATGCAGGGGGAGCTGTCATGTCTGGGACATAAGGTTCAGCTGCAGGGTTGAGCACACTATTTGGTGGAACAGTACCACGTTGAATTGTCGAGGCCTCTGGTGCATGTACTTGCCTTGGTTGAGTATGGGAGTCGTCACCATGGTTATGGAAGGACTTGAGGTCATGAACTGTGTTGCGATTACTCTGCCCGGCTTTGTGAGGTGTACTCGTACTTACGGGTATGTCTTGGTTCTTGGACACAGTTTCAACCTGGTCAAGTATCCTAGTTTCAAACTCATAAAAGGTTTGTTGGTTTTCCACAAATTTCTGAATTTCTTCGAGCTTCGCCGATGTCTGGGAAGAACGGTCGTCTCACCTTGAATTCTTGTCAACCTCCAAGACTCCCTGCATAGCTTGTAATTCTGCCTCGGCTTCATGTACCTCACGCTGTGAAGTAAGAAGTTTCAGATTCACTTCCAGTTCAGCTCGCTGTTTCTCCATCTTTGCTTCCTGTTCAGCGAATTTCAGTCGAATCTTGGCCGCTTCAGCCTTTGCTTTTTGTCTCATGAGAATAGAACTTCCACTTGAATGAAGGCTTTTGCTTCGCACAGAAGCTGATTCTATCCTGTCAGTGTTTGTCAAACTAGTAATTCTAGCATTAATGTCCTTCAGTGCCATCTGCACCTTATTCAAGAGTGAATCGGCAATGTTTTGATGTGCAGCCTGTACTTGTGAACTTTCTTCAGTGCCAGTTCATTGTAAATATGCAAAGAATTCCAAATATGTTTCCTCATACTTCCCGTATTGACAGTCAATATTTGCACGCACACTGGTTAATTGTCCCAAATCATCATGTGTCGAGTGTGAACAGGCACTCTCTGTTTGCCTTGCTAGTTTGGAAAGTTTGTTGACATAATTTTGCACGTTTTCTTGATATAGTTCGTAACCTAGCTCCGTTAAACGTCTAGATCCTTTACGTGATTCCATAGTGTTATACTCACGCACAATTCTTGGAAGAATAATGTGTCAATGGATCGTATGTCTCGTGGTCATCGGAGCGCTGTGCCTCTTATACGAGAGCGGCGATGAAGGTTTTTTACTATAACGACTTCGAAAAGATGCTTGTATTGTTTCTTTAATCATTATAAACCCGTAGTACAAAAGGGGTAAAAAACCTGTACATGTCAGCACTTGAGTAATGGTGATAAGACCTTTGAGTAGGTGTAGAAACCACTGATTTGAAACACGTGCTTTTTCCGGAAGTTTGAAAAAAAAGGTAAGAAAAGATAACTCTTATTGACTTAGATAGAAAGAGAAGCGTCCGTAAAATATTGCCTCGTAGGGGGCAAGACACTTTGCATAAATGACTAAATTGCGAATATATTAACTTAGTCTCGTCGCTATATGGCTGAAATAATGCCGATGCGACGTTATATTTTAACTCAGTGTTTAGGCTAAAAGAGTGAGTGAGTGAGTATGGTTTAACGCCACTTTTAGCAATATTCCAGCGATATCACGGCGGGGGACACATTAAATGGGGCTAAAAGAGTGTATCAAATTATGTACTTGTTGGTTTATTCAGTTACACATATGTTTTTCTGTGATCTGTTTCTGGTTACTTTTAGTACAGATACAATCCCGGTTAAATTATCATGAACAGCTTCAGCATCGTCGACTACGTGGTGTTCGGTGCCACCATCCTCATGTCACTTGGCATCGGTTTGTATTTTGCCCTGTCTGGTGGACGTCAGCGATCTACATCAGAGTTTCTGGTCGGAGGTCGCAACATGCAGATTATCCCCGTCGCGTTGTCGCTCGTGGTGTCCTTTGAATCATCCATCATGATCCTGGGCATTCCAGCTGAAGTGTACGTGTATGGCGCCCAGGTCTGGATCTCCTCCTTCAGTTCATGTCTGACGGTGTTCATTCTTACTGGTCTACTGGTTGTGCCGTTGATACATCCACTTAAGATAACGTCTGTTAATGAGGTACATGCAAACACTACTATACTTCATAATTAAATTGTTAACATAATGTCTGCAATGATGTACTTGAAGCAGTTAGATTATTTTATTTGGTCAATGTTAGCTATTATTATTAACCTTGAATCTTAGCATATGCCTACAATGTTACGTTATGCACAGATATTCTTTTGTTACTAAGTATAACATTTGTCAAGTAGCATTGGTCCTTTTCTAAGATAATCGTGACACGAGTCATTAACATACCAAACCTGTTACAAATAATGTTGACATCACATACCAACTATTTCACATGAAGGTCTTACTTGTTGAGTTTATCAAATCCCCTTCACAGAAAATCCCCTTCACAGAAAATCCCCTTCACAGAGTCAAAGGTATACTTTGCTTTCTTGTCAAGGTGTAAATCTTATGATGTGAGTGCTTACTTACTGTAGCGATGAACAACTTTAAGCTATACATTTTAAGAATCACCGTGAATAATCTGCTTTCTTTACTGAATTATTGTAGAAACTTTATTTCGTATTTAAAAAATCCAATTTTTAACAAGTTTCGTTTAATATAAAAATATACATTCGCTATTATTATTAATAACTGAATGATAAGAAGGCTGATTGTAGAAATTCAATTAAACTTATGATGCGGTTATTTGATTAACTTATTCACTATATTGTGAATTGTTTCCCTTCACAATTCGACCCGTGAACATTCCGGGGTAGAATAGGTCTTCAGCAACCCATGCTTGCCGCAAAAGGTGACTATGCTCGTCGTAAAAGGCGACTAACGGGATCGGGTGGTCAGGCTCGCTGACTTGGTTGATGCATGTCATTGATCCCAATTGCGTGGATCTATGCTCATGATATCAATCACTGGATTGTCTGGTCTGGTCAAATATTGCTAAGGACCTCGAAAAGGATGAGACGCCAAACATATGACGTTGGGATAAATAAATGTGGTTTTTTTTCATACTAACAAAAATATACTGAAACAGAAATATTTTCTTTTTATTCGAAAGACTTGGCACAAAAAAGATTTACTTAATCATTCTCTATATTTGTGTTTGTAGGTATTCTACATGGGAATAGTTGTGTTTGGGACAGCCATAGGTCTCGAAGAAGGTAATTATATATATTCTTTAAAAAAAGAAACACAAAGCCAGATTTGTGTGAGGAAGGAAAATGCATTTGTAGGATAAACCGTACAAGGTATTGAGCCAAAATGTTGTGGAGATAACACTTGGTGATTGTAGTCAGTTATCGGTACATAGGAAAGTCCAAGGTGTAGGTCAGCTAGCATCAATAGCATCAGCTAGCATCAATGCCCCAGTTGGAATCGTTGTCCACCTGACATCTCCGAATCAGATCTTCGGGTTGTGGTTGACGTCGGCGTAGCGGCCTCTCCAAATCATCACATAGGTCCTCTATCGGTTTCAAATCCTGGGATCTGGAGGGCCAGGGGAGTAGACAGGCTCTTGTGCTGTATGCGGTCGAGCGTTGTCCTGCTGGAATACACCGTTGCCATTGGCTGCAATTGGGAGGACGTGTGGTAGGAGAATTTCGTTGATAGATCGTTGAGAGATTGAGGTTGCCCTGGATATGGACCAAACCTGTCGTGTCATGATGAGAGATAGTCGCCCACATCATAACGCTACCCCTACTAAACCTGTCCACACCAGTGCAGTCGTTATTGACGATGTTGTCGGCGCAATATGTCGCGTCAAACAGGACGTCGTGCTCGTAGACCTGCTGCTCTTAAACGATTCCGTACAGACTGGTCGGACATTCTGCGCAGTCCGGGTATTTGAGATGCGGTTGAGGTGGCTGTGGTCGTCCAATTACGTATTGACCCATGCTGTTGAAACCGATCCTGTAGCCTTGTGATCATGCTGGGCGATACATTGAAAAGCCTAGCTGCAGCTGATCGGGACTCCCCTGCATGCAAACGGCCTATGACGTTGTTCCTTTGCACTTCTGTTCATCTTGGCATGTTGTTCAACAGTCACTGTTCGATTGACGCAAATGCCAGGCAATCCAAAACAATGCTCTATAATACCGTTCATAGTGCTGCTGCACGTGCAGTTCCTGCAGCTCCATGGTCCTTTGGTAATGCACTGGTTGCGTTTTTCCGATTCGTACGTGTTTCCCGACTGATGATTTGCATGTCCTTGTTGTAATCATTTTGATCAGGGAAATTTGTCACTGACACTATAACACATTAAACCTCTTCATTTTGCACCACTTTGTTCGCTAATTCTGCTTTTATGGCCGTATTGCGTTTCTTTTTATGAAGAGTATAATATGTTGGTAAAGAAATGGCCACAGTAATTTGCTTTTGTTGTAGAAAATATATGTACTGTTATCTATTTATTAATATGCATCAGCTTTAGAATGGCACGCTTGTAATATGTAATTGTTTGAAAACTAAACAATTCATATCTAATTGGCTTGGTAATAATAAGGCTTTTTTGTGATCAGTGCTATCCAAACGGAAAAGTGATTAATTTATAAAGCTTTGGTATTATGGTAAGTTGTGGCACGGAACTTTGTGTTAAAAAAATGTCAGCATTATTTTTGCATTTATTGGGATTACTTGTTTAGTTAAATCATGGCATTGCAATAGTGTTGGTTTCTAATTCTTGACAATAGCTCTGTTCACGGTTGGCCTTTTCCATGTGTGCTTAGGAAAGCTAACAATGGGGTAAATATGGCCTTGACTCAAGTTAAACTGTGTTGAAATTATACCCAGGCAAACAAATCTCTATTTCATTGACTGATATACCCAAAGTGTGGTCAATGTTCCTCGCCATATTTGCTGCCGTCATTTACACAACGATGGTAAACTGTACAAGAAAATGTGTATGGGTTGTGTTATGATGTAAATGATGAATTTATGAAATGTATATCCCTTTTAGTTAACGATATCAGTGTGAAGTTGTGTCCGATTGTTGACGAGGCTTTTTGCGTATGCCACTATCATTTGAAACCATGAGGCAATGTGAAATATGACACATTATTACAAGTAACCCGTGAAGATCCGGGTTAGAATACGTCTTCAGCAACCCATACGTAATAGGCGACTATGCTTGTCGTAAGAGGCGATTGACGAGATCGGGTGGTAAGGCTCGCTGACTTGGTTCATGCATGTCATCGTATCCCAATTGCGCGTATCGATGCTCAAGATGTAGAGCACTGGATTGGCTGGTCCAGACTCGATTATTTATCGGCCGCTATGATCAGAGGCCATTTTCAACCACCATACCCAAAGTTCTTCACCCACCCTAAATGTGCTGTTGCTGTGTTAATGATTGTGTCGGTGAGTACTTTGCTGTAAAACCTGTTTTAATCCATAGGGTGGAATCAAAGCAATTGTATGGACCGATGTCTTCCAGACGTTCATTATGACCCTCGGAATCCTGGTCATTGTCATTAAGGTGAGTTAAACTTCCTGGAATGTCTTTACAGACATGGGCAACATGTGCCCCAAACGTGTGCACCCGTCAATGGCGCATGTGGAACCCGTCAACTAAACGTGTGCAACCCGTCAACCATATGTGTGCAACCATATGTGTGGAACCCGTCAACCACTCGTTTGCAACCCGTCAACCACACATATGGGAGGGAACAAACCTTTGACAAGACCCATATTTTCCTGACATACGAGGTGGCAAACACAAGTGATATTACTGTTTTCAAGAATGAAATACACTGGGTTGTATTTGCTGATTAACCTCTAAGATGAGATGTATGCAAATTGACTTACGCGCGGGGTTACGCAAAGTGTTCGGCCTCCTGTTTATTTTTTAAATGAAATTAGTGTCATGACCGAGTGGACTCGATCGGTTGGCCTCTGCCTTTATCTGCGTTACCCAGCTAAGCCTATGGGGAACAACTCAGTGGATACAATATACGATGTCATCAAGTTCATATGCGCATGTTGGAATCTTCAGAAATGACGTCATAACAGGACAATGTTTTACTACGTCATTGCTCTTTGCGAATTTTCGCGGAGCTATCTTTATATCCATGAACCCAAGTATTGAAGTCTGTTCTCATAAATACATATAGTCAACAATAATTACTTCACAGAGAGCTTATTTAATGATTAACACACACAAAATGTACACAACAGTACGAAATCAGTGACATCGTTCTGTTCTTTTTACAGCCAACCAAGAAACAGTAGTTTGGAAGTGGGCGTGGCCTGATTTGTCTTCTGTTGATGGAAACATAAGAAACGCAAAAATATTGCTTGGTTAGCCAATCTAGTGCCAAGGAAACGCTTGCAGTTTATTTATTGTTGGAAAGAATGAAAGATATTTCAATCAACCACATTGTCCTTAATTCAAAGAAAGTCAGTCCAAAACTGTTATTGTGAGAATTCATTAAAAAGTTGATATAATAAGAAGTTGAAGAAATAAACGAAATTCGATGAAAACCATTACATATATTTCGATATTTATTGTGTGTTTGTTATTATAATAACAATCTTAATAAGCATTCTTTTGTTGCACTGACATGTGTCAATATATGTTAAAAGAAGTGTCGATTGTACGATTCCGATTTACACTTCACCATGAGCAGATGCTTATGAATCACAATCAGATATTCATTCCATTAAACCCATTTTCGTGCCCAACTGTAGATGAAATTACTACATTAACAGGGATACGGCAAGTAATTGATTGCGATAAATCCTATTAACACTGGTTATTCCCCTTGGTCAGACAGGTAGTTGTCAGACAGGTAATTAATGAAGACGTATCTATAACTAGAATAGGACACTCCTCGTTAGCGGGATCTACTTAGATGTTCTTTGATGATCAGACAGGTAGACTGTCATTTTCCTCCATCCGAATTTTGATATTTACCAAAACACATATGCCAAAACTTAATAATATAATCGCTATTAATGTACAAATTCAATGTATGTTATTGGCGGTAAGCATTAAGATAAGCTAATTCATAATATATTTGTGGATTTCTACTGAACATAACCTACTGTTCAAAGTATACATCGACTTGAGCTGCATACGGGAAGGAAATCAGAAAAAAAATGTACACATTTAATTTGAAATGTAATTTGAAGTTCAATCATTTATCTACGAGCTAAAATATAACTTGGGTGAATTAACAAACTGTAAAGAAGCATATGTGGGGGTCATACATGCCACTTCTCATAAAAAATATACAGTTGATGAAAGTCTGATAACAAAACTTTTGAACGCATCCATAGCACCTCGGCCGTAAGAGGCGACTAACGGGATCGTTTGGCTCGCTGACTTTCAAGATGCATGTGATCGGATCCCAGGTCTAATCAGAAAACCAAAGAGGGGTTGCAATGTAACCTCGCTTCAACATCATGTCAAGGCCAAATCCTCACTTAGCAGTTCTTCAGCAACCCTTGCTTGTCATAAGAGGCGACTATGCTTGTCGTTAGAGGCGACTAACGAGATCGGGTGGTCACGCTCGCTTACTTGGTTGATGCATGTCATCGTATCCAAATTACGTAGATGGATGCTCAAGAAGTCAATCACTGGATTGTCTGGTCCAGATATTTACAGACCGCCGTCATATACCTTGAATATTGCTGAGTGTATTGTATCTGCATATGTATTGTATGCAGCACATCTCTATAGCTGCGTTGTACTCGCGGATATTATCTCTTTGTACCCTTGTTTTGTGTATGGGCCGGAGGCCCTAAGTACAATAAAACCTCTTGATCTTGATGTTGTGTGCGGTGTTGAACAACAAACAAACAAACCACACCGGCACAACATGGCTTATCAGCTTCAAAATTGTCATTACGCCACGTTTCACTTTCCAGGGTACCTTAGATGTCGGGGGAGTGGTGAAAGTGTGGTCTGCTGCATCCAAAAGCGGAAGATTTAACATGTTAAAGTATGTACAGTTTTCTTTCACCCTTACGATTTCAATGTGGAACTCCCCTTCTTAAACGCTTTTCCCTGCTTCCAAATACAATTGCTTCTCCCTCAAGATAAATATACACATCAATTCACAAATTAGCATGCAACACTTTCAATTTGAACTCATAGCTTGTGGGGGCACTGGTTGCCAAGCAATGTAAGACGCTGCAAGTCACTGTGCAAAGTCGGAAATTAGAAACCAATGATCGTTGGCTTAAATCCCGGTTCTAAGCCTTTTGAGGTTTGTCAGCTCCATTGCCGAGCTCGTGGGTTTCATCAATGTGGTCACTTCAGCCGTTCCTCCTTTATGAAGCGGACACGCCGTGATATAACGGGAATTATGTTCACTCGTTCACTCACTCACTCACTCACTCACGAAGCTGGTATTCTTTTCAATTGTTAGCAATTGTAACCGTATTAAATACTTAAATTATCCTGGGACAGGTACAGCAGTACAACAGTATACATGTGTGAATATAGAAATAACGTGTTGGGAAAGTTTCTCACTAACTCAAACCTGATGATTCAAATAGTTCCTTTTGTGACAAGATCACATCACGGAAGAACGCATTACCGACCAACATCTTATCAATTTACAGCTTTGATCCTGATCCAACTGTGCGCCACACGTTCTGGGGGCTGTACTTTGGGTACCTGGCAAGAGGACTCAGTTTGTCATTCAACCAATCAACCATACAACGTATTTGTTCAGTGAAGACGCTGAGGGGAGCACAGAAGTATGACTTGTTTACAAGGCAATCAGTTTCAGAGACGTATATCATTATTAGTAATCTAAGTGTTACAAATAGTAACAAATGAAATGAAAATTTCTAATAATGACAACTATTTGTCTGACAAGAACATTAATAAACGATAGATAATGACTGGATATATGTTTCTTGCAGAACCAACCAAAGTATTGTATGTCACGAAAATAAGCATCTCAAATGCGAGACAAAATATTTCCAAAACAACAGAAATTGTGTTCAGAATGACTTATATTGATACTGTCCTGTAAAATGGATGCATTGTTCTACACGTGTGGGATTATATTTCTTCTTAAAAAAAAGAAACGCACAAATAGATGTTCAGTAAATTTATTGAACCTAATGAAGTCTTTATATTTAATTTATTATCACAGAAACAAATATGAAATTCAGACACATTTTGTCGTTGTACAAAGGGTTGGAAACTGTTCATTGTCATGTCACATAAGGCCACAAGGTCCAGCTGAACTCAGTATCTCGTGCGACCGCCCCGGGCAGCATACACGGATCTGCATGTGCTCGGCCCTGACTGGATGAGTGTACGAAATCTGTCCTGCTGAATTTTGCGCCATTCTGCTTGTAAAGCGTTGGCCAGTTGAGGGAGTGTCTGTGGTGTGTTCTGACGTTGACGTACACGTCGATTAAGTTCATCCCAGAGGTGTTTGATTGGGTTGAGATCTTGAGATCTCGACGGCAAGGGCATTACGTAAAAGTTGGCAGTATAAAGGGTATTCCACCGTGACACGAGCTGTCTTCGGAGGAGCGTTTGCTGGTTGGCGGTCAATAATTGAAAGAAGGCGAGGTTGAAGAATTTGATTCATGTAGCGATTTGCTGCCAAATTTCCCTGACCACAACCAAGTCAGATCTAGTGGTGTAGGATATGTCCCCCACACACCGACAACACTACCGCCAACGAATTTGTCAAATTCACGTACACAATTTGGGGCAAAACGTTCAAACATGTTGTCTTCCATCTCGCCGGTGAAGAAGACATTGCGATTCATCGCTAAACCAAACTCGTCTCCAGTTTCTCATATTCCAAGGCTGTTAGGTATGGCACTAACCCAAGCGTCGCTGTCGATGGATCTGTTGCAAAACAGGGACAATAACTGGTCTTCTGGGTCGGATTCCAGGCTCGCAAAGATGGTTCCTGAAAGTCTGATCCTCCCCAAACCACGGATGCGCCCTGCAGTCTCCGTAGCTGTGGCATTGCGATGACGTAGGTTGAACAATCGAATGTAGCGATCCTGTGCAGGGGTGGTAGCTCTTGGTCGGCCGGGGCGGTCGGGTAGCCTAGTGGTTAAAGCGTTCGCTCGTCACGCCGAAGACACGGGTTCGATTCCCGACATGGGTACAATGTGTGAAGCCCATTTCTGGTGTCCCCCGCCGTGATATTGCTGGAATATTGCTAAAAGCGGCGTAAAACCATACTCACTCACTCACTCACTCTTGGTCGGCCAGTTCTCGGACGGTCTGCAGTGGAATTGAACTGTGTGTATCGGTCACAAAGGCGGCAGATGGTGCTGTGGTGGACATTGAAGTGGCGTGCAACAAAATACTGCCATTCCCCTCATTGGATACGTCCTATGGCGATGTTTGGATCAGCAGCGCTGAGTCTCGTCATTTTCGAATGTTGACAATTGAATGACAAATTATTGGTTTATGCTTGCCTTTTTATAGCCACAACCACGAGTTACGAATGCCATAGCGTGCACGTGCATTTTGCTTTACTGTTTTTCTCCATGACATTTTTTTAACAAGTGTGAAAACAATGCCGTTTAAGACATTGCAAATCGACAATGGCTGTGTTTTGACACACGGTTTTTTTTTTTTGTGTAGTCAGGTGCAGTGGACTACATACTACCTGTGCATTTTTTTTAAGACTATGTGTATTAGTAAATATAGTGTTTATATTATTAGCACATGTATTGCACAGCCAATGTCATGTTATCATTGCACCAAAGCACCATTATATATACAGTGAGAATAATTGATTGACGTGTCAGGCTACAGGAGTAAGGCTATTATCATTTGGGAGGGGACTGTCATGGAGAAGGATCGTTCATGGTTAAAAATAACAAACGCACTCACAACGTTGTGGGTTTCAATTTTTTCCCTATCGCCATGTGCTGATCAACTTCATTATAAAATTATATTACAACATTTTAATTATTACTTTGAAAGAAATACTTATGAATACAATATTAATAAATTTACCACTGTAGATATGTGGATGTCAACAGATTCTGAAGGAACCACATGCAAATTACAATTTGTTTTATCTTTGGGTTACACGTGTGTGCTATTTATGATACTATAGGTACTTGCATCAATAGGCAGGTATGCTACAAACTTTCTTTGCGCCGTGTTGATCCTCTGGATGAAAGTTAACTTGTAATGACTTTTGGATTGTGACGTGCTTTCTCCTCCAGGGTTACCTTCATGGCCGGTCCTATCTATTGGCTGACTGTAACACTGTCTATACCAATCGGTATCGTGGCTTACTCATATTACGATCATCTGGGGTGGGATCCACTTGCTTCTGGTCAAATCACCGACCCAATTCAGGTACCAATCTGTTTTCCGTCTAGAACTGACCCCATATTTGACTATTGTGTCTTATGTTCATATCAGGTGTATAAGCACGTCAGCTAACTGTGGAATCACTCTAGATGGGATTTTGCCAAGGGAAGGGAGTTAACTGACTTCAAAAGTCGAATTTCAACCCTTCCAAAACTTGGCTGGAATTACTAGGCTTGTTCGTAGATCCGCCAGTGGCTATGTCTCTTGTACGTCCCCCCTACTGACCAATCAGATTCTACCTCTCATATATCTTGCACTTGCATTAAACAAAATGGCGGCGAGTCAAGATGATTTTATCAACAATAATGATCCCTTGCCTCGGGAAGATTGCAAGATGGCAGCCATACACGACTCTGATGATGTTAATAGTTTTCGGAAACACCAACTGTTTTTGTAAAATAATGTGTTTTCCACAATGCCAGTATAAAGCACTGGGTTCAAAATGATTCTTTTTCAGATCCTTCCCATCCTGACTGTGGACATCTTTAAAGGTATCCCTGGGATGTTTGGACTGTTTGTGGCAGCTCTCTGTAGTGCCTCAGTGAGGTGAGGGAATGGGGAGGTAAAATGTGGCTTAACCTCGCGGTCAGTATCATTGCGCTAATACAGCGACGTTGCTTGGTTGCTTGTACTGGTTCGGACTAATGCCGGTTTGATAGCGCTAGCCCACTGAGATATCATGAAGCAGTTTAACATGGATACTTTGCTCAGACACAGTACGCTGGTTCTGAGACGGCCAGTCCTTGTTAAATACCCTTAATTCCGAGCACTGGACCGGGAAACAGTCCAATTTTTTCTTGCAAGACGCGATCGAACCACTGACTTTTCACTTTCCGAGGAGACGCTCTATCCACTAAACCCTGGAGACGACAGCCTCACTAAAAAGATTTGAAAGTAAAGACTCTTGGCTACTGTCATTATCAGCACACAGCTGAACGTCAGTTCTCTGAAGTAGAAATAACAATACTTTGTGTCTAAAGGTATAACAAATGTCGTTTGTCCCAAGAAGAAATTGTCACACAGTAAGTGTTCACATAGGATGTCATTTAACAAAGGTCGACATGGATTGTGTGTACATGTTAAGGTATTAAATAATTTAATTGTTTGGCGTTTGTTGAGATTGAAGTCCACATTTTACATAATCCCTTCCCTTCAGCACTATTTCCTCTGGGCTGTCCAGTCTGGCGGCCACAACCTCGGAAGACATCCTCAAGCATCACCTGCCAAATCTTTCCGACTTCAAGGCAACACTTGTAGCTAAAGTAGCAGGGAGGATGTTGCGTACACATGTATGGTATTGTTATCCCCATATAATGAACTCGGGTGGTTGCGTGAAGGAGGAGGTGGTGGTGGTGGTGGTGTGTGTGTGTGTGTGTGTGTGTGTGTGTTATAGTCGACGCTTCGTCCGTCCGTCTGTTCGTCCGTCAGTAATCATTGCGTAACCCGAAAACCGTTAATTCTTTTTCAACATAACTTGACAGATATATCAAGTAGATCCTTAAGTGGTGGACTTTGCTACTTACAGTTTTGACATTTTTATTTTTCTCAATTTCCATTGAAACAATTTGGACTTAGCTGAAACGGAGGTAATCGTCTTTTCCGCAGCAGCACTTAAATCCTACTCAGCGTTTTTCATCCGATCTTGGTACATGTATTAATCAAGGATAGAAGTGGTGCCTTTTGCTCTATGCCAACAAGCTTTACCTTGACTTTGTTCATAGTGGTGTATTTGTCCAAACCTTATCTCTAAAACTAATAGGTACTCTTTCTTGAAACTATGCTCACACGAAGACCAGGTTGTCAACTGGTGCCTTTTGCTACTTTGTTTAAAATGTATATTTTTTTCAGCTTCCATGGCAACAAGTTCGATGTTGATTCTGTTTATAGTGGTGTGTACCTGACATAGAAATACAAAGTTCCGAATCCTATTTCCATGGTATTGTTTTGATAGCTCAATAACTACTCTTGTAAATGGACAGATATATTAGTTAGAAATTCATCAAGTCAAAGTAAAAGTCAGATGATTTGGTCTTTGAATTTGTGGGGACCAGGGAGATTTGTCATCTTCTGATGATCTACAGGTTACCTTGCTCAACATTGACAACATAGTATGTTTATCTCCAATCTGCCATGACGAAGTAAACCTCAAACTCTTTTTTAATAGCCAATTGATTGACTGTTTGGAATGGGTTATCGATCAGAAATTACAGAATCACTGACAGCAGTCATTGAACAAAATATGGCGCTCTTTACCCTCAAACAGTTTGTTTTCACCCTATTACTTAGGTCGAAATCTTTACAGGCATTGAAAGCATGTGGCACAGCAACTTGATTAGCTGACATGAGGTTGGCTTCCCTGAAGAAAACTAAGCAAAGCCTTGCAAATGTTTTGTTCTACGCCGCGCGTCACAATTAAGACGTCATATCGCTCATTGTGCCACAAAAGATATGTCATCAGAGTAATTCTATATAGGCAAAGGCCAAATAGCAAGCTCTCCTTTGTCCTAAAAAAAAAATATTTGAATTCTCTTTCTAGATTTCTGTCGTGTTTTCTGCACAATCTGTCACTCATGATGAATACTTTTGTAAACGCAAATTTGCATTGTGTAGCCTATAATTGTACATATAGTTATTAAAATATGCCTACCCACAATGGCTGTTAAAGAAGTACTATTCTAAAAATATAGCTTCCGCGGTGATTCGGCCGTCAAATCGACTGTTTTAAACAAAGGGGGTCATTGTGATTTGAAAACCTCTGACTGACCAATCAAAATTAGTATTTTCAAAATCCATGGTAGAATGTTGGGTAAAACAAGAAACAAAAAACAAACACACAAAACAAACAAACACTTTTACAAAAACTCGCTCCCGCAAGGAAAATACCGGAATTTAGACACTCGTTATTTATGTTACTTTCAAAAGCAATGTTGATTTTCTGAAATTGATCTATCTCAAGGGACTGTTATGTGCGTGTTATGAAGCAAGATTAATACATTATTATTGTTCAGCTCACCAGATTGAATGTCAAGTGAGCTTTTGTTGTGGCCCATATGTCCGAGGATCGAAACCGATTTTACACTTTATCCACTTTACAGACATCATTTGTTTTAAAATTGTAATGAAATGTATGGCACACATTTAATTAAAAGTGGGGAAAAATCATTTGTGCCTGGGGGCATATTGTTTACTGTTACCAGGTAGGGTCCCATATATTTTGGGTGACAGATAGAAAGTAGTATGTTATTGTCCGTGATAGTGGGTGTGCGATCTCGACAACATCTGCGTGTTTGAGCGTGTGCTTGCGTGCGTGCATGCGTACTTGCGTATGGCGAAAATACCATTTAGCTACTGTTTTGTCTTATGTACCAAATCGTCCTAGTTAGGTAGATTCTCAAAACGCATGGTCAACCATTTGGCAACAATAGTTTAGAGATTCAAAATTTAACGTTTAACAATAACGTGTGTTCAGGAAGAGGTATTTCTTTTTACACAATTAAAAAGGTAAGCAGTTGTGACCAGTGAGCTGCCTTTAGCACCTATAATGTTTCATATCTTAGACATGGTATTAAGTTTGGTTTTGGTTTGGTTTGTTGTTTAACGCCACATTCAGCAATATTCCAGCTATATGACGGCAGTCTGTAAATAATCAAGTCAGTGATTGATATCATGAGCATCGATCCATGCAATTGGGATCGATGACATGCATCAACCAAGTCAACGAGCCTGACCACCCGATCCCGTTAGTCGCCTCTTACTACAAGCATAGTCGCCTTTACAGCAAACATGGTTCCTGAAGACCTTCTCTACCCCGGATCTTCAATGGTCCGGTATTAAGTATGTTGATGACATCATAATATACAAAGTTTGCGGTGAAATATATAATGGAGAGGAAACATGTATATATTGTGGTCAAGAAACTATGAGTTAAATCCTCTTCATGGGATCACCAAATGAAGGACAACATTGACTTTGCTGCGTGCAGGTTGTTTAGTATAAATTTTTTAACAGTAAAGCAATTACTGACGTCAATGAGGTGGTTTTATGCCTGAAATCTAACAAATTATTTTCTTCCATTTTCACATGCTTTGTTTCATCGCAGTGCGGTAGGACAGTTCCCATACAAAGCCACCACAGAGGGTACCACATCTCTTGTTTGTATGTGCAAATGCCCTGGCAATGTCCATAAGGCATATTTCATCAGTGTCCTCAGACGTTGCTAGGTCAAAGTATTTTTCAGATGTGTTTTCAGTCTCATAAGACTTGAGAATGATCGTTCAGATGATGCAGTCATGATTCGTCTTATCAGGTAAATCTTGAGTACTGATCGCCTCAAGACATATTGTTGTATTTTTGCTGCAGATCAGTGTCTGCAACTCAGCTGAGATAACTGAGTGCCTTGAGGGTCAGCACATTTAGAAAAACTGTAGGCCCAGTGGAAAAACTGTGGGCCCAAACATTTTACCTGAAGCAGGAAGACATACTCTTGCAACATAAATTACAGCACACAAGTCAACCAGGAATGGCGATTACATTTATTACTTTATTTATTTATTTTATTTATTTACGATTTGCTTGAAACGTCTTCATGTTGCTCTTTGACATGTTCAATGTGGACCCGTTTTCGAAGCATGTGTCCCAAATTATTATATTGTTTAATAACATGGGAGAAAATAGTTCATTATTTTAATTCTTTTGATAAATATGATAAATTGAAATCAAATACGTATTTTCTGACTTTGTGAAAAGTGATAGATTTAATAAATGAATTATTTTGACGTTGCTGCAGTGTGGCCAGTACACCGGCCTCCGGTGTTGAAAGAGTTCACAAGAGTACATTGAAGCTGGCTCCTGTTTCTCCAAGAAATCTCAGTGTTTTGATTCATTTACCATGCTTACATCTTCAAATAAACTGCAGGCCGTAAAGGCCTGCTGGAATATAAAACTATCAGCCCAAGAAAAAAATTGTCGGCCTCGGGCGAATGGGCGAATGGGCCCATGTCCATTTTGAACACTGCTGCAGATAGTTAAAATGTTTATAGGTAGTTAACCTAAGCTAAATTGGTCGTCATTGTGACGATGATATGCTGTCAACAACAATGAATCTTAAGGCGCAAACAATGACACAGTTTTTGTATGACCCCTGTCCCGTAACAGGGTCAAAGGCAAATTGCCAAGTTTCGAAGTAATATCGGCTCCAAAATGTTTCCTTGCATACAACTGTTCAGGATTCAAGAACACCCGTGAGAGAACAGTTTATACATTCAATTTTATTTCGATTCATACATATAGCTTTGTTTAAAGGACACGTAAACATAGCATAGCAACATCATAAATGCTTGACTAAAGTCTAAATTGAAAAACGGTAGCAGATGTTTGTCGCTCTGCACAATTTCAACGATCGGTCGGCGCTTTGTCTGCCTCCTTCCACCTGGGATTTTTTAATTGCATTTACGGGGCTTTCCTGCCTGCACATTCGTTTGATAACCGTGTCCACAATATGAGCTCTTAGTAACAGCATAGAAGATGCAGTAGTGTACTCAATTCTCAATTTTTGAACATTGAAGGTTATCAGAGAATTACGATAATCATTGGGAGCAATCCCTGACACAGTAGACATTGTCTCCATTATAGCGATATAATTATAAGGAGAATTACATGAAAAAAACATAACATATATGATAAACCTTTTCTGAACATGTCAGTTCTGAGGAGAATTATATCCAGGTGACATAGCTGCTTAACATTTTGAATGCTACAAAATTTTACGACATAAGTTTTAAGACTGTAGGATTGTTCAAAAAATATTGTTTGAGTTTGCTATACCAGATAAAGTGGATACTGAAATTCCTCTTCAACATCACTGGGGCATGTTTAACATTAATACCTGCATCACCTCGGGCTTTCCTCCGATATTAAGCTGACACGCCGTGATATAAACGTAATACTGTTAAAAGAGGCATTAAACTAAACTCACTCACTCGCTAATACTATTGTACATTCTTTTATATTTTAATGGGCAGCGTCCTAGCGCAGCAAACAACACTGCATTATATGTAGACGCCTAATAATCACTGACAGAAGTCAAAGTGAGATCGCTTTACATTATCTCCCTTGAGGAAACCAAGGTTAGCTGATGCCTAACATAAAACGCTACCAGTGTAACCATCAAACAATTTCCACATGTGTAAAGCTATCAACAACGCCAAAATTTGACTGAACTCGACACCTTTTCTAAACTAAACGTTTGTGGTTTGGGTGTTAAATTCAAACCCCAATGATTTTCAATAAT